AGCTCGGCTCGCACAGCTGCGAAAGATACTGTAGTCTTCCCAGTACGTTGGGCCTGACCGTCATTAACCCAGTCTTCTGCGTATATTATATTTAAATATTAATAATACTATATAATAATTTTGGTTATTAACTACTAGAAAGTAAGTTCGATTATATACATTTATTTATTATATTTAAATATTAATAATATTTTTGGTAATTAACTACTAGGGAGTAAGTTCGATTATATATATTTATTTATTATATTTAAATATTAATAATATTAAATAATATTATTAATTATTATTGTAACTATTAGGAGATAAATTTGATTATATATTTATTAAATTAGAAATTTATCATTATTGTTGGTAAATAATATCTTTAGACTTACTATATTTATTTAAATACAGAAAGAAACTTCAAAAATTGATTGATAAACACAAGAATACAATCAATAAAGTTGGTAATAATGGTAAAACAACTTTGCATTGGGCTGCAGAAAATGGTTACATAAGCGTTACTAAAATGTTAATCAAAAGCAAAGCTAAAGTTAATGCTACTGACAACAATAATAAAACTGCTTTACATTGGGCTGCAGAAAATGGTCATGAAACTGTTGTTAAAATATTAATAGAAAATAATGCCAAGATTGATGCTATTGATAGTAATAGTAAAACAGCTTTGCATTGGGCTACAGAAAATGCTCATATAGCTGTTGTTGATATATTAATAAAAAATAATGCTAAGATAAATGCTATTGATAATTATCGCTATACATCATTACTTTATGCAACAAAAGTATATCATGAAAAATTTATTAAAATTATTAAAATTTTAATACATCATGGAGCTGATATCGAACTTGCTAATAAGAAAGAAGAAAGAGCTTTACATCTTGCTACTACTACAGGAAATCTAAAAGTTATTGAAATTTTGCTAGAAAAAAAGTGTAATATTAATGTTATTGATAATAATAATAAGACAGCATTAGATCAAGCAACAGAAAATAAGCATATAGCAGTGATCAAATGTTTATTAAAGGAACAAGCTAAAACTGAAAAAAGTTTTGATAATCAACATTTCATTCATATTTATTTTTCTGCAACAAAAAAATATATAAATATTGTTAAGTTATTATTAGAACAAGAGACTGATAATAAATTAATATTACATTATACTGTGGGCTATCTTGAGAATATTAAATTTTTATTAGAAAATGGAGCGAATTCTAATAATATTATCGATGAAAATAACAAAACACCATTACATTGGGCTGCATTTGATTGTAATGAAGATATAGTAAATTATTTAATGAAAACAAATCTTAATTTGGTTAATATTACTGACAAAAATGAAGAGATAGCATTGTATGAAGCTGTTTGGAATGGACATATAAAAATTGTTGAAATTTTTTTGAAATATGTAAATATTAATATGAAAAATATAAACGGTTGGAGCCCATTAGATATAGCTGCAATTTCTTGTTAAGTTGAAGTTTTTAAGCTTTTGAGAAACAAAGTAAATAGTTTTCAATTAAAGAATTTTCAATTAAAGAATTTTTTTGATCAGTTAGATGATCATAAATTAAATAATTATTCTAAATTTAAACTTACTTATTATTCTATACCAGAGCTAGTTAAAAGATTAAAAAATTTAGATAGATTACAAAATTTAGACAATTATAATGATATTGATTTTATTTCTTTTTATCAATTTCTTCTAAAACATATAGAAAAATATGCAAAAAGTCTTGATAATGATAAGAATGAATACAAGAAGATACTTAATTATCTATCTACACATACTCTTAGCAAAATTTGTAATCTTAAATTTGGATCAGAATCTAATTTAATAATTAATATCAAGGAATATTTCGATATGTTAGAAAAAGATATTAAATTATTATGTGATGTAAGCAAACAAAAAATAATAAGTGAAATTAGTAACAAGTATGAAAATGAATTTAAAATAAAAGTTAGCGAAGCTTATAATATTATTGAAAATCATATTAAACCTAAAATGGATAATCTTATCAAAGAGATAGATGAAAGAATAAAGTTATTAATTAATGAAACAGAAGAATTAATAGAAAATATTGAGAAAAACAAATTAACTCTAGAAGATAAACGAGAAGAATTGAAGAATAAAATCATATTAAAACAAACTTTAGGAATTTTAAAAATTATAGGCCAAGCAATGAATACTGTCGGTGGTCCAATAGGAGTAGCTGGTGATTTAATAAAAGGAGGAACTAATGTAGCTGAAGCATTTATTTCAAACAATACTTATAAACCAAAGTTTGAAATTTTTTCAGATATAAAAAATACTTTAAAGCAAATAGAAGAATCATTTAAAGATGATAAATATGAGACAAAAATGATAGAGCAACAATTACAAAAATTAACTGATGAGTGTAACAAATTTCTGAATAAATTATCTGTTGTAAAAAAAAGTTTAATTAAGGTTAAAGAAACATTAGGCAATAGTAATTCAGTAAAAATAGTGAAATCAATAAAAAGTGAATTAGAAATAGTGCAAAAAAATTTAGAAAAATTAAAAAGTAATGATCAAGAAAAAGAATTGTCTGAAGTAGTACATAATCTTAACAGTAGAATCGAAACTATTGAAATGGCATTTGAATTATTTTATGAATATAAACATGATAACGAAGAACTTGATGAAATAAATAATTCAATAAAACAAGCAGAAGGTGATATTAGAAAATTAAAACAATATAAAGAAAATATTATTAACAAAACTATTTTTCCTATGATTAAAAAGATGCAAAATGATATAAACAATATAGAAAATGAAATAGATACAAAATCACATGCTTTTCTTGATTTAACTAAATGGAAAGTGCAAAATTCTTTTGAAACAATAAAATATGAAATTCGGAAAATTTCAGAAGGATTTAAAGTACAAGAAGATATAACTCATTATATAAAAATGTTGAAAAAAGGAATGAATACTCTTATCAATATATATGATCATATACAAAATTATAGTGATCAGTCCAGGCTTTCTAACTACATTGCACATATCAATTCACAAAAATCGATTGAAATAAAGAATGAAAAATTGAAAAATCATATTGAAGAACTGGAACTAACAATAAGAACCAACATTATAATCGGGCATTTTAGAAGGGCTATAACTGTATTCAAACAATGGGTATTTCCATATGCATATAAGTATTCAGATGTATTAAATTTACAATTAAATGATAATGCTATAAATGTTAATGAGATTATAGAACATCTAGGAAACCTTAAATCAAAAGTTGAAAGTCATTACGTATATATTAAGAATGATGACCAATTTTTGATGAGTAAAGAATTTTATAGTGAAGAAACACAACCATTTTTTGTATGGGAAGCCAAAGAATATCGTAAAGAAATATCAGAACTGCTAAAAGGAGATGAAATAACTGTAAAAGCAGATATAATTAAAACCAATCCTGAAAAAAACGCAGTCACATTTAGTAAGATAGGTATCAGACTTAAATCGAACAATGTAGAAATACAAAATAAAATTAACAGTGAACTAGATGAACATTTTAAAGTAAAACTGATTCATTTAGGTAACTCATATTATAGATATTGCAATAAGTTTTATTTGATAAGAAGCGATGAACAGCATATTATTTATAGTTATAAAATGAAAAATGGAGAACCAGTTAGTAGCAATCAAGTTTACAAAAAAATTAAGGATGGAGAATTAATGCTTAGTCCTTATACTACCTGGAAAATAAAACTTGATAAACTTCATGATAAAGTAGATTATAATAAACTAAAGATTTATGAAACGGAAGTTGATCTAGAGTTGGTAGGGCATGGTGAATATATTGATCAAGATGGTAGCAGTGTTTCAAATGAGGAAGTAGAAAAATGGTATGAAAAATATGTACAAGACATCATTAACTAACAATTTTATTAATCCTTTACAATTGTTTATGATAAAATATCAAAATTTTAAAAGTCATACGCTTAGTAGGTTGAAAAATAGCATCTATAAATTTTACATGTTCTCCTACTATCGACATTGAATATTTTTATATAACTATTTTACTATTTCTTATTTACTGTATATGTATTTTATTTGATTGTTTTTTATTATACAATTTATCCAATTGTCATGCTCGATATTTTGCTTTTATTTTACTTATTTTTTATTTTTATATTATTATATATTTTCAAGATTTTTTCCTTATTAGTCTAAGGTTTTTTTTATCTTAATTGTATATAATAATATAAACTTTATTATTATATAAAATTTTATTAACGTTACTACTATTATGAATAATTATCGTTAATTAACAAATTAAAAGCCATTACTCGTTACAAACACATAATACGGTATACAATATATTAATGATAGTTGTCAACTAAACGATTATTCAATTTTTGTTCGATTTTAATATCGATTAATTGTCAACTAAGTCAACTAATCGATTTTTCGATTTTCGATTTGTATCACTACAATATATCTTATAATAAACATTTATGAGAGGTCATTCGCCTCTTTTAAGATGCATACGATCAAAATAACTGATTTGCGTTAAAGAGATGATTGAGACAAATATTCTACATTCAAATGAACAAACAAATCATCTAAGACATGTAATTTTGATTTTGGTATTGTATACATATCCATTTACCAATTTTTCTTTTACAATAAAATTGATTGCTCTGTAATTTCAATTCAAATTTCAATATAAATTAATAAATATGTCACCTTCGCATCTACAGAAGAATAATTTTAGCTCAGTGATGAACATGCTCGTTCAGATGACTTTATTAAACAATGAAGAAAAAACATATGGATTTCTGTTTGTTATCTGTAGTCCTTACCGCCAAATCCCATTAATAACATAAATATCCACTAGCCTTACAACAAATAATATAGCAAATTCAATTATCCTACAGCATCATACGCCTAGAGAATGGTGTCGAACCCGTTGACTACCTCAAACTACTCTACAGTAACCTACACTTAAGGAAATAGAAGCCTAATATAGTAAATGCTGAGAATCTCATAGCTATAAAGAGAATCGATTATATAGTTATCATGAGGTCCTATAAATGCTGAGCAGTATAACAACCTTTGTACTGCCACTGCAAATTCTATTTCTAACCACTCATACCGCTAACTCTCAATCAATGTTCTTTGTTCTATTGTCTGGCAATAGGAGATGAGCGATATCGGAAAAAGGTACTTTTTTTTTTTACTTGAACAAATACTAAAGTACTCTATAATAACGAAGAGTGTTTTTTTTCTCCTCTTGCATTAATATTTCCATGTATAGAACAATATGACTATTCCCCTGCCATTTTACCAATGTTCATAGTAATTCAATCATATATGCAAACAATTGAACATGTGACCTGCTATAAAGTCATTTCGTTAAGTTTTCCACTGAGGTAGTGTAATGCAACATTCGCAGGATAGGAAAGATTTTGCTGACACACTAAAGTTCTATTTTTTTTTTTTTATTAATTGTAGTAACAATAGATCAGAATCAAGACCTCGATCAATACTTGAGCAACTTTCATCAATCCATATTGATTATTAAATGAAATCGAAAATTTTACAAGCCGGAATTGCGAATTTATATGTAATTATGAAATTATCCAGATCCTTCTAATTATTTTATTTCATTTTTCCAAATTTATTATTCGAATTATACATGTTAAATATTTTAACAAAACTGTGTTGTATTATACAAACAATATAATTCTTTTCTGACTAACCTAACAACAGTGTAAACATCATCATTATTTCAAGATCAGATGTTGCACATTTGTAGATTTTAATATTATAAAAGGTGAAATTACATGTAACAAGTTCATCTGACCTTCGTGAAAGCATATTTTGATAGGATCTTCCATCACTATTGTATTATCCTAATACGCAAAATTTGCGCAGTATATTTGAAATCGCATTATAAAAATGGGAGGATACTGTTACGGCAAGGGAGAGCTTTTATATTTTCCAGCCAAGTTTAACTCAGTGCCGCAAGCATAAATACAAAACCAGCAATTTACTTCAATACACAAGAAAAATACTCTATCTCCATCTCTTTATTCTCTCTCTCTAGTGTAACCAGTACAAGAAAGAATCCTCCTTTTATACTAACTATTAGACTCTGACTAATTATTACGTATGCAAAACGTAAATGATGATCTAACTATATAAAATGTCAAAGTATATTATAAAGTTACACAAGAAAAAGTATAATGTTAAAGATTACATCATTTTTCGTAACAGATACCACCCTTTAATTTTATCTGTTATTTTGGTTTTATTAAGAATTTCCTAACAAAATTATCCACGAACTCTTTTCATAATGGGATCGTTTAACAACCTTGACATTTTATTCAATGCGCTTCTTTTTTATAACAGAGTTTTTTGTCCAAGAAAATTTTTCTCATAAAAAACATTCTCCAAAATAATATTTAGTAAGCTGAATTTAATTTTTGATTTGAAATAAGTGAACACAATAATAAAAGAATAGTTTAACAATCGAAGAAAAAATTAATCTGAATTATTTAGTATTTTGAATAAAATATGTAAGAACTTCAGTATTGTGATCTTGACAACAATATATTTATTTAGTAATTCATTTTCATGAAACAAATCTATTATGACTAATTAATTTCTAGTTAAAGTCTAGTCTAGAGATTTTAGTTAAGTTGCTCAAAGTTAACATTGATGTATTTGGCTTGAGTGAGCGAGAGGATTTTAAACGCACATTTTGTTGCGCAAAGCAAGTGGGTGTTTTTTCATAATTATGTTAAATGCTTATAAGACTGTTTATGTAAAGTCTTTATCTAGTTATTATTTGAATTAGAAATTTTCGTAAATATACATTTTATAAATACCTATAACATTAAATCAAAAGTTGTCCTAAAATTTATGATAACACCATAAGTATTTTGTAACTGTGTATATTCTAAATTTTCATAAGCTATGAAATTGATCGGATACCATCTAACTAGTTGGTTAAATAATCCATTAAAGAAAATTTCAATCCTTAAATAGCTACTCTCTTTCAGAATCAAATGTCATACAATATACTTATTTGTTATCGTTAATCCATATACTTTATGCTCACGCACTCTAATCGTATATAGTTTTTAGTAATATAAAGAGTAAATAATATAGATTTTTTATATATTCGTGTTTCTAATGAAAGTTTTGCATAGTAAATTAAATAAACCTATAACTATTAATAATTTAATAAGTCTGAGGACTGGGCAATATTTTAATTAAATTTCGTAAGGTAATCAATCGACAATTTTTATATACAGTTTAAATCGCTAATTTTAAAATAAGATTTTGTTGTTTAAAATAAACCTTTTTATAACAAACTCACTTATAGCGATTTTTTTTTTTAAAAAAAAGAATTTATTTTAGAGCTCGGTATAGAAACATGCAATTACTTTATAATAATTTTTTGAAAGTTTTAATATAAAAAATGTCGGTACTTTATGAAGAGTCGACTGTAATAATTATAATTATAATATATATGTTATAGATGGATTTCGAATTCAGAAACAACTCAAGTCAATTTTAGATCTTAAAAGATTCAATCATATGTACTTAAAATAATTGTATGTTTTTCGTGAAAGTTTTCAAGTTAAAAATTTCAACTTAAGAATATTCTCATAAATTCATTAGCTAATAAATTTCTTGAAAAGATCACTTGTTAGACGTTGTAAAACCTTTATATCACAATCTTGATAATATTTTTAAAATTCTTTTCAACTACAGAAGTTGAAAATTGAAATGAATCCAAATATACAAAATATAATTGTATGGATAAATGTAAAGTTGGTTCTTGTAGATGTAGACATTCTTATTTGGTGTGTGGAAATGAGTTCATTCACATAGTATTAAATGTGAAGATAAAAAGCAAAAAATAAATAATATATAGTGATAAAACATTGTTTTTAGCTATAAAATTACATATTTTTATATTGTCTTTATTTCCAAAATTTACTTAGGTTGATTCGAAATCTGCGGAATTTTTAATTCACCTACAAAATATATATTAGTTTGTCTACTTAAATGTAAATAACTAGAAAGATTTTGTACAATTTGATTTTCAATAACTTGCTTATTTTGTGATCGTAAGATGTCAGAAACTTTAAATTCTTTATAATTTTCTAGATAATACTACGAACCAATTATATCATAAATTTCAGATGAAGTAGGTCTTTTCTCAAAATCAGAATCCCAACATCTTTGCATTAGATTAGCAAAACAAGGTGGTGTTCCATCTATTATTGGAGGTCGATCACTATTACATGCCAGGTATTCATCATATTTACGATTATCCGACATGTTCTATGTATGCACTGGATGTTTTTTGTGTATTATTTGATCACTTTCTAATCATGTAATAACTCTATTTTTTGATCACTTTTCTGATTTTATTTCTTGCATAGAAAGTTGTACGTAAAACTTGTATAAAACTCATATTAGTGAAAATTAAGAATAAAAATTTAGTGAAAATTAAGAATAAAAATTAAGCGAAGAAAAGAAGTAAGTAAAAGTAAAAATAAAAAATAGTAAGCGAAAATGAAAAAGTGAAAATAAAAAAGAGTTAAATGATTAGAAAGATTGAATAATACATATAAAAAACGACAGTACTTATGTCAGACATTACGATAAAAATGTTATCAGTTAAGTTGCAGCCGATAAATTTAATTATCATTGGGATTTATAATACGGAACATGTGCTGCTTTGTGGCACGTTCTCGCATTATATCCCAACGATATTTTACAACCTAACCAATAACAAGTACTTATAAAATACATCTGATTTAGGATTGAATGATTTTTTTTGTAAAAATTTCTGGAGTCATGAATGGAACTGCTCCGAATAGCATATCTGTAGTAGAATCTTCATGACCAAAAGGACATAAAGTCAGAAATATAAGATGTATTATCATCTTTCAAAATATTTCCAAAATGAAGATCACGATGAGTTAAACCTTCCTTATGAATAATTTTAAAACCATTTGCAATATTAGCAAGAATTGGTAATTTATTTTCAAGACATTTCATTTGATTAAAATTTTTAGTTAAATATTTCAACAATCACTATCTTCCGCAAATTGTATTACAAGCATATCTTTATCGATATTTTCAGAAATCCATTTTTCTGTAATATCCAAAATATCACGACAAAATACAGTATTTCACATACTAATAACTCCGATGAAAAAAAATGCCGTTATTTTAATTGTATGACCAATATATTATACATAAATTTTGAATATAAATCGACTATCAAAATCAGCATGGTGGTTTCTTAGAAGACAAAATATATTGGACCATACGAAGTTATACTGTTAGCTGGAAAATTTTTTTGCTTAAGCTAAATAATGTTGTCGTTACAAAATATCATTATAAAATATATATATAGCTTATATTTTTATAATAAAAATTATTGATAAAACTATCTAAATAGAAATATATATATATTATTTAAGTAAATTACAAAACTCTAACATCGCCATATTACCTCCTTTTACTTTATAAAAGTCAAAATTTTATTAAATAAATCAATATTAGCATGCTAAGTAAAGTCATTCAAAAATTTGATATAAATTAAGTAGCTTTTTATTAATATAGTTTTGATTTTTTTATGTCTTACAAAATATTGAAAACCAGTCTAAACCTTAATTCTGAACCAAACCAGGTTTAACTCAGGTTTGGAATTTATCATATAAGAACTTTGGTTCTTAGGTTTTTAATTTGGAACCTAAGGGTTTTAGAATATAAACCAACCCCAAACCAACTTTACCATCACTAGACTAAAGGTATAATCCTTCGGGTGTACCTTCAGACTTGCGATAAAGAACTTTCTCACGCACTTTCCTAAAATCTTCAGCGATTACTTTCATGCGACGTTCCCGTAGAGCAAGCAAACCTGCCTCAGTACAAATAGCCTAAATCATGTAAATACATATTGATTATATTTGTCCCTTTAAGGCCTAGATTTTGTCAACAAATTTACCTTAATGTCAGCACCACTAAAATCATCTTTAGACATTACAAATTCCTCAAGATCCACATCATCTGATAATGTCATTCTCCCCGTATGGATTTAAAAATACGACGTTTCATTTTTACGTCTGGAAGTGGAAATTCTATCCTTCGGTCAATATGTCCCGGCCAAATCAGAGCAGGATCTAATGATTAAATACGATTTGTTGCCATGATGACCTTTATAAATATAAAAAATCGAATTAATAATTTATTTACATATTAATATAAGCAGGAAATTCCTACGAGCTAGTTAACCTTGACATCTCCTCTAGAATCAAACCCGTCTAACTGATTCAAAAGTTCTAACATAGTTCTTTGAATTACTCTTTCACCACCTGAATTGGAATCATATCTATAATTAAATGGTGTCAATTAAATAATAATAAAATTATAATAAATTAATAATTAAAATTATAAATTCAATCAGAATAAGATTCATATCTATATACCGTTTAGTTCCAATAGCATCAATTTCATCAATAAATAAATGGAAGGCGCATGTTCTTCGACAACACGAAATAATTTGCGCACAAGTTTTGGACCATCTCCAAGATATTTTTGGATCAATTCTGAACCCATAACGCACAAAAAAAGTTGCAGATGTCTGATTCGCCACGGCTTTAGCCAAAAGTGTTTTACCTGCATATACAGAAATATTTACTATTGATCTGTAGATACCTTGTTGATAGAAATGTTGAATTTACCTGTTCCCGGGACCCCGATATAGGATAACACCTTTCGGAGGTTTAATCCCCATTTCTTCATAAAGTTCTGGATGTGTTAGGAGTAATTCTACGGATTCTTTGATTCCTTGAATTTGTTGTTCTAAACCACCAATATATGCATGCGATTCTGTAGGTGCTTTCTCAAGTTTCATAACACTGACCATTGAATCAGTATCATCTTAAAGTACACCGACAACAGACATAGCCTATTAGGTGTATATGTTAAATAAGTAGACCAATAAAACAACAAATAAAATACGCGTTTTTGTATATACCTTATGATGTAACAAAA